AAGTTAAAAATATTTAATATCAATATTAGCTGCACAGTTGAAATATTTTAAAGTTGAAAAACTTTTTTTTCTAACTTTTTTTTTATACAAGTGGCAGTGACATTGGAATAGGAGCTCCAGTTCTCCTGTTTTTTTTTTGTTTTTTTTTATTGTGTTCTATGAATCTATGGATAACTATCATGAAAAAAAAAAAGCATTTTTTATTCAAATTGGATCATAAATTTGTACTTTGTGAATTTGGATTGAAACATCTCCACACTATTATAGTTTTTTAGAACAAAAACCTTAATGAAAATAATGGAGTAGCTGATAGATTTTTTTTATTTTGAAAGAGAAATATATCTATCTTATCATGGCCTGAATAAATATTGCATAAATGGCATAATAGTTGTGATCTGGTGTAAGATCTGCTAAAATTTTCTTGGTAAATATAGATCTTAAAAAAACTGCTTTTCTGTTATAACAATTTCTTAAAAATTTATTGTGAACTAAAAATGAACTTTTTTCTTTTGGTTACAAATTGCAAGTAATGATGTACATCACATACCATTTTCAGTATTCTTTAAGTCCTCACTAGCACTTAGATATATAGGTCTGTTTGTTTTACATGTTTCATATGTTCCTTTAGATTTGAAGATTATTTCTTCTTTGTCCAAACCTCCTGCAGGATGGCAGCAGGTAGGGCTCTGGTACCGAGGTCATTTACTATTAATTGTATTTAGTATGGTTTTTATGTTCAAAATATCACTGCTTTCAAGAAGTATGTTTAAGTTAAAGGAGATATTTTTTTCTATTTAAGAAGAATGTCTTTAAAAGCCTAAAATTCCTGGTTTTGTGATGTAGAAAACTTTTTTGTGTTTCTAATTGCCTAATTATTATATGTGTAATAATAATTTAGAAACTCATATTATATTCTATTAAATTTAAGATTGGTTTCTTTGCATTGAATGTTGTTTTTATTTTATCAGGGGCACCTCAAGAAGATCCAGATGGGAAAGAGGTAAAAAATTAATTGTTTGGTTACTCAGTTATTTGTTTCATTAAAAAGGACTTCACATTTTTTGTATGCTGTGTCCTAAATATGAGATTTTCTTTTTTTACAAATGTAAATGTTTTTGGGTTTTTTTTTTTTGTTTTTTTTTTTTTCAGATTCAGGATGAGTTTAGTGAAAGTAAGTATATGTTCTAATTTCAGTAGGTACTTTCTCTAGTTCTAATAAAATATATGACTACTTTCCAAATTGTAAGTTTAATATTTTCAATAACAGCTATTGTAATACATATATGTAAAATTTTAAGATTAATGTAAAAAAAACTTAGAATAAAAATATGTTTTCTATGGTTTTGTATTTCATTTTGAAATTTCATAACCTCTAATCTTTTGCTCGTAATTATACATCTAAATTTTTTATGTTACTGTTACAGTGCCTACCGTCATTGCCTATTTAAGAAGAACTTGGAAAGAAATGAATATATTTAAACAGGTATTATTGATAAACACGTGTCAAGGCTTGTCATGATTATTTGATTACATCAAATCTTATATTTTTATACGAGAAACAAATAAGATAGATTTAAAAATTATCAATAAAATGAAACATTGCTCAATGATGTTTGATAATAAAATCAAAATACATAATAATATTTTTTTTAATGGCTAATCAATAGTACTCATTTTTCTAATTGTAATTTCAAATAATTTTTTTTTTCAAATATAAAATTTAACTTCCAATTTTCATATTTTTTCTGTATTACGTTTCAGAAAATTCAAGATCCCTCAAGAGATAAACTTCTTCCTGACCCTTTGAAGTATCCTTACATGCAGCCTCCATACACACTAGTCCTAGAATTGACAGGTGTCTTGATACACCCTGACTGGACGGTAAGTAAAGATAGACATTTACATGTTTACAGTGTAACAGGACTTTTTTTTATTGCATATTTATCATATTTTAGTATATTTAGTAAATGTAGCCAGATGCTTGAGTCAAAGAAGCTGTATCTGTCCATTGTATATTATTTGTAATAGAGTTGCTGTTTTTTGTGTTCATTTGTTGTTGTTTTTTCATAGTATGGAACAGGTTGGCGTTTCAAGAAAAGACCTGGCATTGACTATTTCTTGCAACAAGTTGGACCTCCATTGTTTGAAGTTGTGATTTACTCCTCTGAAGCTGGAATGGTTAGTTGCAGAAAGAAAGTTTTTTTCTGATAAAATCATTTGTTACCCATATGTAATTATATCTTTGTATTTGTTTTCTCATTAGATTTAATGGACAGATCATCATGACTACCAATTACAAAATGCTTTCTAATACATTTAAAAACATAACATATAATACAATTATAAAAAACAATAAACCAAGTGTTACAATTATTCAGGATGTCTTTGTGACAAATCAGTGTGTTAAATTCATAGTTAATATATTTTGCTTTGATGCTTTTCATAATTTATTCCCTTTACTGTTGCTGATGTTTGTATTTTAATGCAAGATTAAAAAATTTTTCAGACTGCCGACCCCTTGGTAAATCATCTGGACCCTCAAGGATATATTATGTATAGATTGTACAGAGATGCCACTAGATACATGGATAGACATCATGTTAAGGTCTGCAATAGTGAAGCAATAAGGCAGCCAGACTTGTTATTTATAACACTATTAGTCACATAAGCTCTCCTGGCACGCATGTCAATTATAAACCTTCATAGAGAGAGGCTAAGCTAGAAGGCTTCTCTTTTTTTTTTAAACTGCGAATGAGAAAAAAAAATAACACTGCATTTTCTGTGCATTTTCATTTTGTTACATAAAAGGAGATACCTTTAAATAAAAAAAAAACAATGCATTCCTCTGTGCTTTTCCATTCATACTTAATTGAGCATAAAGATATGATAAATGATTTCATGGCAGCAAAGCAAAAATTGTCTATGCTAGAGATACAGGCTTCATTTTTGTCTGTTTGAATTTTCTTTTGAATGAACAGGTTTATTAGCGAGTAATGTCTTCTTGATTTTCTACCAGGACTTATCTTGTTTGAACCGTGATTTGTCCAAGGTCATCATGTTAGACTGCAATCCTGACTCTGTCAAGTTACAAAGACAAAATGCTTTTATCTTGAAGAAATGGCAAGGGGAGGACAATGACATGACTCTAATAGAACTTGCACATTTCCTAAAGAGTAGGGGTTTTTTTTATTCCTCAGTTTTGGTTTGGTTCTTAAATATTTAAAGAAAGAAATAGTGGGATTCATGTCTTAAGTACAGACTCTGTAATATATATGTCTTTAAGTTTGTTTAATATGTGGGAATTTATTTTATGATTTTTTTTAAAGCATGCCTGTTTTTAATGCCTTTTAGTAGGTTGTTAAAAAAAAAAGCACTTTCCACTTTGATGTTTTGGCTGCTTGTACATTCAATTAATGGTTTATTTTGCCCAGCTATTGCCGCTAGTGGAGTGGATGACATTCGACCTGTACTTGAATACTATAACAAATTTGATGACCCTCTAGCTGCTTTCAGAGAAAACCAAAAGAAATTGCAGGTAGGAAGTTTCTTTATAATTAAAACCTCTTTTTCTTAAAACTTAAGTTAGTAGAAGGTGAGGAATCTAATTAGCCTATTTTAGGCATTGGATAACATCATCACTAAAAGCAAATAATGGGAGAAATAAAATGACTCATCAATTGTTTTGAACAGGAAAATGATTACTGTCAGGTCTTAACTTAAACTTCTGTCCAGCATTCTACTGTTAGTTAACCTATTTTCTGTTGCATTCACTGTCACAGTACATGACTAGTTATATTATTTCATGGATCATTTCTTGACTTGTACATCTATATTTATCTCCTGCCTTATGATGAGGGAAATAACCCAGTTGAGAAGCCAATTAGTGGGAGAGAATCAAGTTTTCTTCTAGAATTTCTAGATTTATGTTGTTTTTTTTTTCAATTATGCCAAAAGATTTTGTCATTCCATTATGTGAGAAACAACTTGTGTGTGTGTTAACACTATATCAACATTTTATTTTACTTGAAAATCTATTTGGAATATTTTTGTGTGTACAGGAAGAAGAGGAAGCCAGAGCCAACCAAAAGAAATTAGATTCCACGAAAAAAAGTTGGCTGTCAGGACTGACTAGCAAACGATAACATTTCCAAGAACACGACAGAAAATGTTTATTCAAGAATAAGTTTATACATATGACAATATCTCAACAGCATTGTTAGCCATTTGCTGGTTATTAAAACAAACTATTTATTGAACTGTTTGAAGACTCTACAGGGAGAATATAGTCCGAGGAAGTTAAAGTAGTTAAATATTATAGTCTGGCATAATTTTAGAACTGCCTATCATACTTTACTATGTTATTTGGATTGAACTAATGTAAGGGAGGCGACTAATTTTTTTCTCTGGGGTCTTCATTTGTTAGCTTGTCTCCTAGTTGACTGTAGAATGACAGTGTATGGTGTGGTGTTGCTAATTCAATGAACTGCATGGAGATAGTTAAATGGGTAACAGAGTTACTGTACTGGACAGTCTAAAACAGACTGCAGTTGTGAGATGACAAATAGATGATGTAGTCCTCTTTTTTTTTCTTGATCACTTGCACTTATCAATTATTGAAAAAAAATGTGTACTTAGGATTATCTTTGAAAAATGTGTACATCTTACCATATCAATTTAGTTTTTTTTTTAGTAACAAATATAGTTGTTTTTTTAGTAATTATTTCTAAAAAAAATAAAAAATGTCTGAATATTATATACTTGTATATTTAAAATCAATATAAGCATTACATTTACCAGCTTCAGACTTTTGAGTTGTGGGAATGCTGTATCATAGACTTTATGTATTGATGTTTGATCAAATTGTGTTATGGATGCTTTTGTTTGTTGAAACTATTAGGAGCTGTGTTTTGTTGTCTGACAATGTTATGAGCAGTGTATAAAGCCAAGATTTGCTTGGTATCAAAGTGTTATTAGGGGCTGTGTTTTGTTGTCTGACAATGTTATGAGCAGTGTATAAAGCCAAGACTTGCTTGGTATCAAAATGTTGCTAGGGGCCCAGGTCAAGATTGTTGTATGTCACTTGGAAAGTGTAGAGGCAATGTGTCCGTCATATTTGTGCAAGGTGACCTGGCATTTGTGTTTAAAACTGATAGATTTGTTTAGTTTGAGATTTTGTCTTTTCTGTGACACATTTATTACAATAATAAAACAATTTTTTCAGTGATAAGTTTTTTTTTAAATTAAATTCAGTTGCAGTCCCAAAAGTTGATGTGTAAAGAAATGTCAGTCAAGTGTGGTGTGTTCAAACTGACACTACTGAATTCTTGGCTTATTCCTTTTGTACACATGCTATTGAAACACAGCAATTTTTGTGACATCAAACCTAAAAAAAACAACCCCAACTTGTTTATAAACTATTAGCTTGACCCCAGGTGAAGTGCTATTGAATTCTAGAAGCAATTTTTTTTTTTGTTAATAAGAAAAGTATTTATTAAAACTTTCCTGTACATGTGTATAAGTTTAAGCTGGTGAACTTTTTAAAATCTATGGCTAGGCAGTTATGTGCTGAGAGAGTGAGATAAGCTGTTATCATTAAGTCTACAATTTGTTTTGTTACTTCGTAATTTTCCTAAGAATTGAGTCCAAGACTCTTGGAACTCTATGACTACGGAAGCCTGCCTCCATCCGCTTGTCTGAACAAACTTCTGTCTGGTAAGGACAGGGCCGGTCCTAACAATTGCGGGGCCCTATGCGAAACTGAATGCGCGGGGCCTAGTCTGGGTCGGAATAAGGATAATAAGTGAAAATTAAGATTTTGTATTAGAAAAAAATTCGACTTTGCAATTTATTCATTCTTTACTAAGTACAAAATTGCGAACCTTGCAACCTATAGCATAGTTAGATGACAGTGACTATGAAAGTAAATAAGGTATTGAAACTTTCGGTCCACATTTGAATTCTTCCGATCATTACACTTTATTACATGAAAGCTGACAATGCCATTTTTTATCGCACGTAGGATGGTTTTCGTAATAAATGACACCCACAAATGACAATTTTGTCTTTTTTTAAGGAGAGTCTTCAGGAGATTTTAATAAATACAAGACATTTCCAGGAATTTTTCGTATATATTTTGCAATTTAATAATTACACCTAGAATAAGCGCGGGGCCCACTGCGACCGCATAGGCTGCAGTGGCCTAAGACCGGCCCTGGGTAAGAATCCACGCAGATGTAAATTATCACATCCCTATTACCGATGGGGATTCTTTTAAGTTGTCACACGGGTTCTATGACAAGTTATAAATCATAAGTGTTTCTCACATCCCCAATTCATTCAGACAAATGGAATCTCCAAAATGTCATTCAATGTCAACAGTTTACTATCAACATGTGATTGTTTCGTAGGTTTGGAGTTTAAATGAAATCCTGGGCATAATTTATGGTCGGAAAGAAGTCACAGACGAGGTGTCCAAAGAAATGGTAAATACCCGATACCATTTGGGATAACAATGGTCGCAAGTTCTGTCAGGACTGTGTCCTGTAAGTTGCCATAGTTCACCAGCTTATGATTTTTCCTAAAGAGTTGACTCCCGAAGCCTCAAGCTTTGGATTCAGAGTTTTCCTTCTCCAAGATGGGTTGCCAGCCAAAGATAAAGAACCAACTGTCTTATCTCTATAAAGTCCAGTAAGGAATCGGCACCGAAAGTCATCGGAAAGGATTTCTTCTTATGGTCAGGTATGGACTGTCCACTCCCCAGCCCTGTCTGAGAGTTCTGTCTTATAAATTGAAGACCAGAGACCAGCAAAAGTAGCCACTGTGTTTGTATTGTCTGTCACTAAAAATAAAAGCACTTAAGTCATCGCTCTTGAAATAGGCAGCGAGCCATTTTTTTTAAAACTGAAGTATTGGTATTTCTATCAAGTGCAAGAGGTTTCTATATACCGGTACGTGATCTTATATGACATGTGATCTCATCTCAAAAACGTAAGACGCTATTGACATTGTTTTAAAACCATCTTATTGTCCTGCTAGACATAATGTTTCCCTTTCAGACCATGCGATCTATGGTGCAGATGATGTCAAGGTCCTCTGTACCTAAACCCAGACCGGTATCAAGTACTGTCCAGTGATACACATTGGAAATCACACACTTACGGTGGTGCAGGAATTCACATACTTGGGAGCAACAATAGCCAGCAACCTAAACTTAGACACTGAGTTGACCAAAAGAATAGGGAAGGCTTCTGCAGCAATGGCAAAACTCTCTAAGCGTGTGTGGGAAAATACCAAATTGACCACGGCAACAAAAATCCTTGTCTACAATGCCTGCATTCTGAGCACACTTCTCTATGGCAGTGAGAGCTGGGCAACTTACATGCGTCAAGAGCACAGATTAAATAGCTTCCACCTACGCTGCCTGCGACGCATACTGTGCATCTCCTGGAGGGATCGTGTCACCAACCAGGAAGTTTTGACACGGGCCAACATACACATCATCTATGATCTCCTTCAACAGAGAAGACTACGCTGGCTCGGTCATGTCACTCGCATGCCAGATGGAAGAATCCCTAAAGACATCCTGTACGCTGAGCTAGCAGAGGGAGCCAGACCCAAGGGCCGCCCAAGACTAACTTACAGAGATGTCTGCAAGCGAGACATGAGAGCCATGGGCATCGACCAAAGTATGTGGGAAGATATAGCCCAAGACCGGACAGCATGGAGTGTACGAACTTTGCTGAATGCAAAAGAAATGAAGCTGCATCGGTCAAGAGAAAGAAAAAGAAAGCTGCCCTGTCAGTGAGCCCTAGGACAGATGAATATAAATGCTCAAACTGTGGCAAACTCTGCCGATCCAGAATTGGCTTGATCAGCCACTCCAGATTCTGCCCCGTCTCAAGACGTAACCAAAGCCAGTGACTCATCTGGGCGCATCTATTGTCTTACGAGACAGAAGGAGCCATATATATATATATAATTATATATAGGGGCCTATAGTGCATGTTTCGCTAATAAAAAGAGTTGTCTCACTTCACCTATCAAGATAACATTACCGTGACACTGCAAGCGGCTCATAGTTTACTTCCGATGAACTTATTCAACACCCTCACCCCTTATCATGGCTGACTGCACACTACTAAACAGTATATACAAACTATGGTAAGTCAGTAGTATACTTCACAACTCCAGACACACACACACATCTATCATATCTATCTAATATTTCCTTCTCCCAGGGCTCAGCTATCTCCGTGATACGAGAACAAAAGTCCCGTCTTCCCATGACCTCATCAACTTCGTCTTTTTGCAGCTGTAATTTGATACTATACCTCAGAAGGGGTGGGCTGCTACTTCCCCATGTCCTGTCATGCATGATTAGATTACAGATCAATTAATTAAAGAATAAGCACAAGATCTACGTGTTGATTGGAGAAGTTGACCAGGTATTTGAAAAGTTCAATGCGGTTATAATGTCAGTGCGCACATCTCTAGATATTGCAACAAGATACTTGTAGAGATCTATGTTCATAGCTTTTGGGATTGTTCAATGTGGCACTTTGTTAGACTTTCAAGACCTGCACTATAGGATATTATCTTGAAGCCAAAATCATGTATGTATTGTTTTAACTAAATCAATGCTTAGGGGTGTATCAATTATTTTCTTTTTTTTATCGGCCCTCGTATGGAAAAAGCTGCTATTGATCTTACCCCCGTATGTCCGCCCTTGTATTTCTGAAGCTTAGATTGTAGAAACTAAAAGCGATATTGAAAACTGAATTTCTACAACGCCCAAAATGGTTACCTGGTCGTGTGGTCCGTGATCTGGAATGTCGTTACAATTTGGCTTGCGTCTTTTTTACTTTGAACGCAAGTATTTCGTTAAATGAAGAGACGCTCAGGAACCACAGACCTATATATACAGGTCTAGGTCAGGTTCCTTTTTGCGCACCGTCGTAAGTAGAATTCATAATAATAATTTTTTTTTGACAATACAAATGAGTATATGACATGGGCGTAGCCAGGGGGTGGGGTTGGGGTTCAACTCCCCCCCCCCCCCCGGAAATGAAATCGGAATTTAGTCACTGATTTCTGCTTTGATTCTGTTTATTTTAGGTGAGATTTCAATACTAAACCATCGCTTGCCTCAGCGCAAGAAAATATAAGACTATCCATACATCAGTCACCAGATTCAATGAGCTTAACCAGAAAGAGTTTTGTGTTTAAAACCACCTTCCAGCGGGGTTTAGAGCTAAAAACCACCTCTTTAATATAAAAAAAAAGCAAATGACACACTCAAAATGCTATGATCGTAGCCAAAGAGGTTTTGAGTTTAAGTCCCCCTTCAGCGTGGTTTGAAGCTAAAAAAAATACCCCTTCAATATTAAAATAAAATGCAAATTACACACTCAAAATTCTATGAGCGTAGCCACGCCAAGGGGGGTTTTGAGTTTAACCCCCCCCCCCCCCCTCCTCCAGAGGGATTTTTTTTTTAAAGTTTAAAACTCCTCCTGATGGTTTTGAGTTTAAATAACCGCACACAGAGAGTTATGATGTTGAAAACCTCTCTTTTCACTTTTATTCTAAAGCAATGTACAGTCACCAAATTAATTGAGCGTAGCTAATGGGTTTTGAATTTTTAAAAAAACAACTCCACAGATTAAGACCCCCCTAAAAATGATGTTGACGATAAAACTTCCATTTTCAATATAAAATCTAAAGCAAACTACAGTCTCCTAATTCCAAGAGAGGCTACACATTTCTATCACTGGCTGGACTCCATTAATAAAATTCAGTGAATAGTCATCTGCCGAAATTGAAAAACACTAAATGAGGCTAAACAAAGATGGCTAAGACGGATTTTAGGAGTCAGTTATAGAGATCAAGGAAATCCTATGCCGAACTGGGAGTCGACCCCTTAGTAAGGTTGTGACAGAGCGTCGCATGAGGTTTGCGGGACATCTCCGACATAATGAATTACGCATTATAAGAGTTGCCATGACATGGAGGCAATTACGAGGAAAGCGTAAACAGGGACATCCTAGTAGGCCTACAACTTGGCGCCACACATTCATGGATGTCCTCACAGCAGGTGGGAAGAGGCTTCAAACATTACCAGTGATAGATTTTTGTGGAAGCAGATTGCCGCCAAATGCGCCGAACCACGCGTGAGTATCTACGTCAGTAAGAATAGCACACACGGTTTTTGAAATAAAACTTTTTATAGCA